AAAAAAATGCGACTCTCTTTTAATCACTATTATGTTTGCTGAGTGTGACACAGTAACGCAGTGATTGCAATTAAAGGAAATTATATCGAATAAATATTTGGTAGAAGGATAAAATATCTGTGTTATAATCAAATTTGCCCCCGTCCACTCACTTTATTTAACTAAACCGATAACTGAAGTGTTAGTCGTGAGAGTCGCATTTTTTTTGGCCTTTGTTTGGTTAACCTAACCTAACCTACTGTAGACATTTTGTAAATATATGTGTACATATACATATAGTTTCTATAATTGTTGACCAAGCATTGATTATTTTTTGTTATCAATCACTCAATTACTGAAAATTGAAAAAAACAAGTTATACGTAGAATTTAATTGACGTCATTGATCATGATAATAATTCGTTTTTTCATACGCGTAGTTTTTACTAATAATTAGATGATTCAAAGAATGAACGTAATTAAAATCAGGTAAAAATTATTTAACATATCAATGACGCATATAAAATTAATATTAGCATGTGATTAATCTCGCATTTATAAATCAAAACACGCGTCTTTTAAAATAGTACTAATTATATATATAAGATGTCTTCATATGTAACGTTATTTTTTACATATACTGGAAACTCCAATATTTATTAAAGTTGCAAAAAATTAAAATAAAATAAAGGATCGAAATACTTTTTAAATAATAATCTAAATCTAATAAAAATTATTTTTATTCTAAATTTTTAGGTACATATTCTGTTAATCTAATTTTCTTTCAAGTTAAAATTTATTTTTAATTAATTTAGAAAATATTATTTCTTGTTATCAGTGTGTGTGTGTGTGTGTGTGTGTGTGTATGTGTGTGTGTGTGTTTACAAAAAAATTTGATTAATTGGGAAAATTTAGCTTAAAATCTTACGTCACATTTCATTATATCTTTCTTAAAATTAATTCTTTCGTAAAAATGGTCCCCAATTTCATTAAGAGTTTATAGTGCAACACCGGTAAGACTGGTTTTTGGAACTGTGATTTGCATTTAGATAATGTTTAGGATTATTCTAGGAAAACTACGGATACCTATTAGTATTCAATGAGCGCAAGCATGTCAAGGACTATTGGCCAATTGTCATCGTTTAGAATTTTCGGTGCAAATTGTGTTCTTCAAGAACTAAATTCTGCAAACACCATTAAAAAAAAAGATTGAAAATGTTAAATAATAAACGATTCTTTGATGAGAGCATTTTTTATCAGCATTTCATGTAACCAATAATTCATATCTCTTTATTCTATATAGAAGAATAAAAAATTCAGCATCAAAAGATCTATTCATACGATAAAACCATCAATTATGTATATCGAATCAGCATCAGCTCGTTCAAATACTTTGACTGATAAGATTATTTTTCCTTTAAGTCATTCACGAAAAAATCATCCGCCGCATATTAATTTATACTTTAATAAATATTATATTAATATAATAACTATCAGAAATTAAAAATTTCATTAGAAATATTATATTTTTATATTATTTATATTATTTATAAATTACTATTTTTTATATTTGTACATTTTTATTAATCTGTTTTTTTTTCTTCGTTATATACGCATATTATTCTATATCCTTTAATAATTTTAACTGTAATCACGATAGCTTCAATATAATCACAGGTATTAATTTAAATCTGTTGACAATTTCTTTCGCAAATGCAGTATGCAAAGGACCACGTGCCCATTGAGACTTTTGATCAGGACACCATAAGCTACCACATACTAAATTTTCAGCCATTTTGACCGAAAGTCTTTCCCATAAGAAAACTGCGGGATCTTTTAACAAGTAGATAAAGTTTAATCTTTAATTTCTAATTATGTTATATAACAATTGCTCGCACCATTGCGCACAGAGATATGGATTAATTCTCTACCTTCCTCTTCCGCGATCTATGCAATGATGCGCATCTATCTGATGATTAAATACTGCCCAGCTATCACGAATGAAAACGAACACCTGTTCGATTTCTTGGATGGAAATTCCTTGGACGCATAGCATACGGGCGATATCGCTTCGCACGTACATATTCTGACCCAAATATC